CGGTGACTCAGGCCAGGGCCTGAACACCTTGGCAAATACAAGATGATCTCATGTAAAGTCTGTTGAAGTCATTGGAAATCTCTTAGTGACTATTCTAGGACCCCAGATAGGTCCTGTGAATGCCAACTCGTGTTAATTGATCCAAGAAGCGCGGCCATCTCCTCCAGCCTCTCTGGCCCAGAGCCTCTCCTGCCCAGGGACCTGGGGCCTCTGCACAGGCTGAGGGATGCAGCTGCTGCTTTCCCACTTGCAGGCTCAACCAGTAACAAAGCTGAGCACATATTAAGACATGGCTGGTCACACAGGCTGCCACAGATGGAGCTGTTGCTACAGCACCTACATACAGGACTTGCATAAAACATAAATGCAGACAAGTCCCCTCCTTCCTCTTTGGCTGTTAGTGATAAACGTTCACTAGTGCAGGCACACACGCAGCACTCTCTAGGTTCACAAGCACACACACACATTTGCAGATCCCTGAGTGCCAGCACGGCCCCTCTGTCTGCACAGATCCCAGGCCCCCTTACCTGCTTCACGGATCCCCTACTTGCCCACTAGTCCAGCTTGATGCTCGCTAGCAAACACGCATTCACACACTCATCCCTCATGCACTCCATGTTCACAAGTCCCCTTGGGCGTACCAGCATGGACCCCCCTGCCTGCTTGATACCCTGGTGTGGACCCAAGGTCCCCCTACTCGCCAGCTAGTCCTGTAGTGGACACCACAGGCTAGGGGTGCCCACACCCCTGGTCTGACTCCAGTAGCTGGCACCAAATCCACTCACGCCCGTCCTCCCAGTAGCTGACACTCCAGGCACAAAGTCTGTAGGACCCTCCCTAGATCTGGAGAGCTGCGACCCCTCCCACTACTGATGCTGGGGCCCCCACTCGCTCCAGCAGCTGACACCGCAGGCTGCAGGACGCCCATATCCCCAGTCTGACTCCAGGAGCTGGCACCAGTTTTCTCTTACGCCCGCAGGTCTCACCAGTAGCTGGCTCTTAGTCCTTGCAGCACACATACACACAGGTTAGAAAGTGAGATTACACAGAGAGATAGTTAAGATTTAATAAGCAGATATAAGAAGGTAGGACAAGACTGTCATGATCAGGTGCAGGGCTCAGCCAGGCAAGTGTACTGACTAGCCCTGTTTTACACACAGATGACATCTTTATGCTCCTTTCTGTTTACTCCTGTCTTTGTTCCCCCCTGCTCCCCTTCCCCTGCACATGCCTCACGGGTTTGTACAGCTCTGTCGATTCCTGCACCCCTCCGAGTCTGGGGTCCCCCTGGTTTACAGTCTTACCAGTTGCAAAGTCCAGGCTGATATTCCTGGAAGTGGTGCCTGTAGTTTCTTGACAGCCCATCGATTAGTCTGAGGAGGTTTGTTTCTTGTCATGGTCTCTATGTTTGTTTTGTCGGGTCTGTGTCTTTGTATAGTTTCTGGTTTCCCCTTTTTCCCTTAGTTTCCCAACTGACAAGGTCCCAGATCAGATAACCTTGCTGGAATAAACATCCTCAGGATCCCACATGCCCTCATTAATTAGAGTGACTGACCAGGTTTGGTTCTCTTCACCACCTCCCTTATCATTTGCTGGTCAGGTTTGTGTCCCCATATGCTCTTGTTTTATGGCTTCCTCCCTTTCTTATTATCCCTTGTTGCACTGAAAAAGGTCCTTGACCAGATACCCTTAAAGGAGCAGACACTCTCTTTCCACATACCTTTACAACTTGTATAAGCATTAAGGAAACTACCATATGCAAGCCCAGGCTAGTTAGGATTCCATAGAAATTGTGCTGTGACTGACATTAAAAACTGTTTCCCCAAAGCCAAAACAGAGCTACGTTAAATCCCACTATTTCACCTAAATTAAGAGTAGGCAAACATTGTCATCTTAGCCAAGTCCACTTCACTGTTCAACAATTCCCTTGAAATAAAAAGTGTTATTATTGTGCTGAATACTTTCTTACCATTCTTTCGCATTCTTTCTTTTGCCTATATATGTCTGCTGTCTTTCATCTTTTCCCTGAATTGTAGGTTGTCTGGAGTACAGCTCATCTCGTGCTCTTGTACAATGAAACCAGCTCTATGCCTGGAACTCAGAGGCACTACAACAGAGAGAGTACAATTTTTAAAGGGCTTAAATAGCAGCCTAAAAATGTCAGGATGGCACTTTTATTTTCTGAAGTCACCAAGCTGGCACTTTAAATACATGACCTTTATATATATTTTTTGAGCAGGAAAGCCTGTGGACAGGCCATCTGAATTAATGGTGACTCAGGAAGTGCCATGCGTATCTAGATGTCTTGAAGGAGCACATTCATTAGATGACTTCAGTACATCCTATAAAGAAGTACTTAACACTAGTAACATGTAAGTTATCATAAGACACTTAAATTCATTATAGTTTAACATTTATTAAGATCTAATGTTATTGCTAATAATATTGACTGTCTAAAGTCCCAGATTGACAACAGTTCTCATCAAATATAGGTGAGCATACAATGTATGAAAAATTCTGTAATGGCTACAAAAGGGCCCTTTGCAGCAAAGGAGAAAAAAATTATCTTGAGATAGGTATCTCAAAGATTACACTAAAGATTTATAATAAGGATGTATGCTCAGCATGTTAATTTGTATGTGACACCTCATAACTGGGTGGGAAAATCACCTTGGTTTTTTAGCAAATGGCTGCCTTCAATTACAAAATGCTGCAGAGCCTGGTAAAAGAATGTTTGGAGTGCTGAACTCTGCCAGAAGAGAGCACTTGTGCAAATTTTTATTGATCTTTAATAAAGCATGTACAGTAAGAGATGAAAGGCCCTTTCTTTGTGTGCTAATGGCTCTCATACAGTTAGATGACAGAAATGCAGACTTCTGCTATTTCCACATTATAATAACAATAATTCTTGATATCATTTTCCTGAAGATTTGTATGCTGTGCTGCAATTTTTTTTTTCTCCTTTTCTGCCTTTCTAACAGACATAAGGGCATTTGTGCATTTGATAAGACATCAGCATTCAACTTTTCAAGTTCTTGGTTGATACAGGAACTTGCTAAGTAAGGAAATTTTACTCTGTGTGCAGGATTTGGAGGCAGCATACTACCCACAGGGAGTGAGACTGTGTTCATCCTCTCCCAACAAAATCCAGAAGCTTTTTCTCCTTCTTTGAAAAAACCTTCCTAATTATGAAGCTGAAGCTTGGTAACATTACAAAGCTACGAAAGGACTCATTTCTGATCATATTTGCTAGGCATGATAGTGTTCTGTGTGTTTTGCTTGCACAATCAGCATAAAGTTCTATTTCAGTAGTAGAATAAGATACACTCAAGAAAGCAAATGCAGTGAAATTCAGATATAAGGCAGAAGTCAAATGGTTCATATTTTTTTTTGAGAGTTCAAATCCATCCCTGCTGAGTTTCTACTGACTCCACAATTTTTCTTAATTGCCTTTTTTTCTTTTTGCACCCCCCCTCCCTCCCCCAGTTTGAGTTTCATCTTGTCCCAGTTCTGCTCTGTTCAGGTTTAGCAGTTGATTAACTTATTTGCTATTTCTCAGAGATTGAACAAATGGGTTTTGTGTGAGGAGGAAGTCAGAGGCAGTCAGTGCAGATTTTGATGGGGCAAGGGTAGAACAGGATGAATTTTGGTAGGTTGTGTGCCTTGCCTCCTTACCCAATTTATTTCTTAAGACCTCTTCTTTGTCATGTCCACTGTGGCCATGTGACTGGCAGTGCATTTCTCCTTTCCCCTCCTCTCCCATCCTGAGTGTTTGCTGTTCTTCAGTAACAGCCCAGCTCTTCATTTTGTGGTTCCCAGTTTGGTGTCCCTTCAGTAGGAAGAAAGAAAAACCTGAAGAACTGCCTGCCCCAAAGGGATAGCAACTGCGAAGATGTGAAATTTTAAAAATTACGGTATTTTTTTTTTTTAATGCATCAATATGCACAAATAAATATTAGGTAGGTTAAGTCGAGGTATAGAGGTGTATAGAGAAGTATAGATGAGTTGGGTTTGTTTCAGACCAAGTAGTGCATTTAATTTGATTCCAACTGCTTCTAACGTTTTTCTTTTTTAACCTCAGACTTTGAGGGGAAGATAAGATTGTACTGGATGTAATTTCTTTATTGTTAAATTTTGTTCTACCCAGTTCTATATGTCCCTAAAAAAATCACTTGCTTCCATCTTCTCTATTTAATTTTTAAAAATCTAATTTCAGGAAGAAGTCTGAAGTTTCTGTAGTCATGGCTAAAGCTGACATCAAACCAAAATCTATACATCATGCCAAAAAATGGTCAGATGATGTAGAGAACTTATACAGATTTCAGCAGGCTGGATACAGAGATGAGGTTGAATATAAACAAGTAAAACAAGTTGATATGGTAAGATGTAGAACTCTGCAAAGGTTATTTAAACTTCTGTCTTATGTTAAATGATTAAATAAAAATGGAGGTGCTGCTTATTTCCTTTCATTTAGGCTAGTTTCTGATACAGTTTTTTCTCCCAGGTCTGACTTGAATTCTTGGGCTATTAACTGTGCAGAGTAACTTATTTCACAGAAGTGAAATGGAAACACTACCCAGCCTGTGTTTTTGTTCCCCCTCTCTTATACATTTAGAAGCATTATAGATTTCTTTGAGTAGATGTAGCTGCTATCTAAGAGAATAATTCAGTTTTGAGGAAAGGAATTTATCAGAGTTAGTTCTCTGTGAAGTTTCCCTGATATTCTGCCAACAGACCTGACAGGAAACTTATTCATTGCCCAGGGAGCCAGTCTTGTGTCATTGCTACTAACTTCAGTTTCACAGCTGAATTGCAGGGTAGCATGATCAGACTTTGTGCACACTCAAAACTTGGCTTCTATTGAAACTGTCCACAACAGAAATATTTGATGCCGACTGTGGTAAAGGGAGTTGTGACACAGGCATTTATCAACAGAGAACATCAAGGACCTGGTCCTCTGCTCACTATAGTTGATGGCAATTCTCCCTAGCACATCAAATGAGCTAATGAATAATGGCCAGATATTCAGTGGCAACTTGAGATTCAAAATAGCAACCAAGACGTTAATACCACAAACAACATATTATCTTTGTTAGAGCTCTGTAATTTATCTTCCAAAGCAGCATATATAGTATGAAACATCCACTTTTAAAAGAGTTTAACCTCCTGTGCATGTAAGTGCAGAATGTTCCCAAGAAAGTCGCTCCTCATCCAGTTAACTCAAAATATAGCAAAATGCTGCTGTGCATAATAAGATGCAGTTTATTCTTTTGTCGTGGGCTCAGATAACACTGTAAAGGCTGTGGTGTAAATTCCTTTAACTGTGCAAAAGGAAATCCTGCAATTAGTGTGGTAGGAGCAGTCTGCTTAAGATTTATGGCAGGGCATAATCAATTAAACCCTGGTAAAAGTTAAAGAACACCGCTTACTCAATGTAAAACGAGCGTGCATTCTGTTCAAACTTGCCAGGACCTGGCAGTGGTTCTCTTCCAATTTACACATTTTGAAATGTCTTGTTTACTCCATATTATGTTTCCATAATGTAATTGTAATTAATGATGAAATTATAATATTAAGGCTCTTATGTTTAGATAGAGAATGCAAATAACTCAGCTGTATTTCTAAAGTAATAAGTGATAGAAGTACCACTTCTGGGACTCTCCAATTAGAGAATGCTGTAGTTTGACATCCTATTGTCAACCCTGCCTGGAAGAGAAATAAGATTCTTATTACCTGATTTTTAAGGTTTGATTTGATCAGAAGTAGTCAGAGGTGTTCAAGCTGCAGATGGCTACTAAAGCCATAAAGCTGTTGAACATACAAGTGTTCAAGCCTTTAGTTTAACGCTTCATGTTGTGGAACACTGAAGAGCACCAGGATGGTGTTGGTTTCCTGCAGGACCAATCCAGCTGTGTTTGAGACTATGATACATGTAGCTCACTTTATTTTTATGACATTGCTAATGAAAAGCACGATGTACACAGTTTTCATAGTCAGAAGGGTCCTGAAGAAAGTGTGTCAGTCTTACAGAGGTGGAATCATCTAGCCTCTCAGAGTACTGAATAACATCAATCATTTTTTTCCTAAACAATGTATTTCAAAAGCTTTGACTAGTCCACTTTTTAAATGACTCTAGTCTATCAAATATTCTTAGATCCTTATTTCTAGACTTTTCTGATCATGAAATTCTTTATACTAGACCAGAAAACTGGTTTCTGACATCTTGCTCTTAATCTTTTTTTAAAAGCTAAGCAAATTAATAGCAAAATAGTGTTCAGATGCAAATGAGGTTTTTCCATGGAAGTACACTCTATATTCTTTCCAATCTAATGCACAAACATCATTCAATGTGAGCATGTTCAGGTGAATGTATATCCTTTTTATTCTATTCATAGGTAGAGTGTTGGCCAGAAACTGGATTTGTTAAGAAACTTCAGAGAAGGGATAATACATTCTATTATTACGATAAACAAAGAGAATGCGAAGACAAAGAAGTCCATAAAGTGAAAGTTTATGTGTATTAGCTTTGTTATTCTAATTTGTTTGTATTTTTTATAAATCTGTTTGTTGGAACCTGTAAGTAAAACAGATTTGTGTAATCTAACTTACCTTAAGTATTGATGTCATTCTTGGATAGAAAGGGGAATACGGGAAATGTGGAGAAGCCTGGAACTATAGACACAGGAATTACATTTTTTTCCTGCTATAATCAAAAATATTATTATCCCTCATTTTCCTAGTTACAAATGTTTTGACATCAAAGAGATAAAAAGCTGGCAAATGGGCATCATATATTTGGTTTAACTGTGTGCAAAGTCCATTATAAGAAGAGGCAGCAATCTTTATTCAGAACAATATAATCTTGTTGACACTGGCTAATGTCAGCCACAGTCTCTTGGTATAGCTAAAGGTTATGAAACTACAGAGGGCCAGAGTAAGGCCAAAAGGCTAAAGTTCCCTTGGAGAACAGCAAGAATAACAAGCAGAGAATTTAGTAAAGGACACCGAATAATCAAATAGCAAGGACCCGTGCTAAGCTGCAGATTTAAAAACTAGTTATTGTGATAGAAACAGTCACAACAAAAATGTCTTTCTAAGCAATAGGTAAGGTATCCCCAAAGTATTTTTGTCAGGTGCAAGTATTAATTACTTGAGGAGGAAGTATTAATTGACTTGGTAGCATATGCCTTTTTATGGAGAGTGAAAAAAAAAGATTGTGGATTTATATATGGTGGGATCAGGGAGTAGAAAACTGCAGGGACAACATGAAATCCATACCATGTAATATTTAAGATTAGGTAACTTACGCAGATAATATGTGGGATTTCTGGGCAGAATTCATCTCATCTAACTTCAAATGTCACAGTGTCAACATCTACACCTGACCTTGTCATTCGGACACCCTTTGTTCTGAATGGAGAGAAGTTGGCTCTTCTGGGCACAATTAATTTCTTGTAAATGTAGATGTGTAACATGTTGCTGTGACATCAGCTCTGCCGAAGCTGTCCATACATGTGCTACTCTAAGACACACGGTAAACACGAGGTACCATACTTACCTTCACTCATTAGGGAATTTAAGTAAAATACTTTAAGATGCCAAAACCCTAGATAATTGACCAGTAGAACAGATTATTGCTATGTAAACCAGTAGGTGTGTTACAGAAAACAAAGTTATTAATATCTCTTGTCTCTGGACTGTAAACCAAGGGGTATCTAAACTAAGTTTTAGGCATGGATTAGCAGTGTACATTTGACCATCTGTCTTATGGATATTCTTCCTTCATTTGAACCTAAGGTGGTCGCCAACTCAACATGCAGAATAGAGGACTTAGAGCTCCAGGTCAAAATAAGTAGTATAGATGCAATATTCAAAAGATCTCACTGACGATAGGTGATGATGATCTAGTCACCTTATTTAGACTACTTGGAAATTTTTAGCTAAATTCTTATGAGCTCTGTTAGAAAAATGACTGAAAGGTACTCAGAAGCAACTATGAAGCTTTTTTATTCCAGGAAGGTTTTAATGGCATATAAATAGAGAGTTACTGCCGTGACCGAAATAAAGGATTGCTACAGTAAATTTCACTTCAGATTTTCATTATGATTTCTTTTTTATTTGGATTGCTCTGGATGTACTTTTTAAGAGAGGACTTTTTGCATACTTCGCAATCAAACAGTGGGAACAGAACAATTTATCAGGATAAACCATCTATTTTGTCACTTTAAGATAGTGGATCTCACTTTGTTAACTTCATAGATTCCAAAAAAAGAAATCTTCCAGTGGATATGAAAAGAGCCTTTAAAAAATTCACAAAAATAAATGTGTTATATAGCCAACTCAAATTTATTGGCAGGAATTATTGCTACCAGCACACACAGAGTAAGTGAGAATGTTTGGTACAGCCATTTTCTCAGTCTATAAAAAAGCCATAGTTGAGTATTCAAAAACAGGAATTAAAACTGCAGGTAACTTTTTAGAGCTTAACTTTTTTTAAAGAAAGACTTTTAAAAATTGAGACAAATGTAAAAGATTATTCTGGGCTTCCCTCATTTTACCTGACTACACCTCACTGGTTTTGCAATGCTGCTGGATGCTTTCTCTTTTGTATTATGTTTTAAAACAATGAGTGTGTGTTTCACACAGCCCATGGATATTTCTTTTCTTTTCAAACAAGTAGCATGGGAATTCATGTTTCACTTCTGAAATGCTGATTTTGTATGAGTTGGCAAATTCTTCTCACTTTCAGACAGTGAATTACCGAGATTTTATTACTTTCATTTTGCAGCATTGTCAGTGTGCTACAAGGTTGAATCTCACTGTGATGTTTAAAAGATTAATGGGATGAAAAGGAAAAAAAAGCCTTATAATTAGTGCTGGAGACCAGCTTACAGACATAGCTTTTGTCAGCCCTAATGCTGTATTTGGGAGTTCACTCACTTCACTAGCAAAATAGCAGGTTTTGTACTGGCAGTGACAGTTTCAGTTACAGCTGTCCTTTGACATTCAGTTAATTTCCATATTTCACTCCAGTTTATGCTAAACTTGAGGTTACTTAAAACCCCTCTCTTTTTTTAAAGACCTTAGCTGTGTAATGGCCTTAGCTATGAAGCCAAAGGGGTTCCTCTCTTTTTAAAGAAACAGGTACAGGGCTTCTTGCCTGAGTTCAAGTTTGTCTGTGATCACAAAAATAACATTAATCTAGTATAAGTATGTTTGCTTGAGTTAATTCTTAGAATCATAGAATGTGATTGTGGCCTCCTCTGGACCAGCTCCAACAGGTCCATGTCTTTCTTGTGCTGAGGGCTCCAGAGCTGGACACAGTACTCCTCGTGGGGTCTCAGGAGCATGGAGTAGAGGGGCAGAATCACCTCCCTCAACCTGCTGGCCACGCTTCTTGTGATGCAGCCCATGGTACGGTTGGCTTTCTGGGCTGCAAGCGCACATTGTCAGCTCATGTCCAGCTTTTCATCCACCAGTATCCCCCAGTCCTTCTTGGCAGGGCTGCTCTCAATGCATTCAGCTCCCAGTCTGCACTGATGCTGGGGTTTCCACAACCCATGTGCAGGACCCTGCACTTGGCCTTGTTGAACTCCACGAGGCTGACATAGACCCACTCCTCCAGCCTGTCAAAGTTCTTCCGGAAGTGGCTTGGGTACTCAGCTGTGCTTGTTGAGTGTGAAGCTGATACTCAAGTACTTACAAGTTCTCCTCGGCTACTGTTATGCTAGATGTATCTCTTTCAGTCAAAAAAGCTGTCAAAATAATTTAATGTGTCAGTATTTTCTCTTATTTGATAAATCTGTAACTGAAATGTCTTGTCTGTCACCTGAGTTTTAAGCATATTGAGACCTGTCAGCTTTCTTGTGTCTTAATTTAAGGTTGCTAAATTGTGAAGAAGTATTGGACGTAAGCAATCTGGGGAAGCTGTGCTTCATTTTAGGGGTGACACAACAGTTAATCAAGATAAGTAACTTATTTCTGAATGTCATTACAAAAACTTTTTTACTGAACTTCAGTAACTTTGAAGAGAGAGATAAAATCACATCTCTCCATTTTATTGCTTAAAGATGAAAATATTCGCTATTTTACTGATTTGAGTCTTAATAAAAAGTAATTCTTTGAAAATACTTTCCAAGGTACTTTTCTTATCTGTTGGTATTCTTCTTATCAGGGAACACAGTAATGCTTTCAGGGACCATTTGCAGCAGCTCAACAAATGGATGATGGCAAGGCTCCTTGTTAGCGAGTGCTCACCAGCTGCCCAAGTCTGACATACTTAGTCTAATTCCAGTTCACTTCGTGGCTTTGTACAAGACAAGAATAAATGCTTTCTGTGCTTGTTGAAGGTCATGAAAGGAGGTAAACCAAACTTTTCCAAAACCTACTTTTCAGGCTTTGTGTTTGACAGCTACAAGTGAAATGGCAAGGGTGCAACCTCTCTGAATTCATCCAGTTACACTGGGGAAATAAAGGGTGTGTTTGTGTGTTCTAGGCTGGTTTTCTATGTTTTCAGCCTTTACTGGAATTCATTATGGAACAGTATTGTCTGAAAGTAATACTGTGGTTATTTTCTTTGCAGTCACAGAAGCTCAAAGCACCTAAAAAATCGTATAAGCATTTTAACTTTCACTTTGGTACCTGAGCATACTGTTGTCTTTCCAGCTCTGAAGACACTTGAGCCTCAACCTTTTGCTTTTCAAACATGGTTCCCTTGTTTCAGGGTGTTGAAAATGATTGACCAGCTTCAAACCATTTAAAGACAACTTTGTAACTCAACAGCTGTTGATGCTGCTGTTCCTCACATTGTCTGGCACAAGCAAAGTCTGTCTGAAAGCAGCTTGAATGGAGCTGCCTTACGGTCTTTGCAGGTTCTCTCCTATTACCCTAGTTCCACTGGTTTTATATTTATTTGTCAGAGCTGCTTTCTTAGTAGCCTGCCTGTACTGAGAACCTGCTGGCAAGTTGTAATTACTTAATAAAACACATTTTCTTTCTTGTTGCAGTTGAGACTTTGCATTTACTTCAAGTCTGAAGCTCAAAGCTCATCACACTCGCAAACAGCATTTGGGAGGGTGATTGGTGACATATGCCTGGCACACAGGATAGAAACTGAGATGACACAGAAAAGGTAATTAAGAATGGGATTTAATAAGAAGACATGCCAGACTGCAGGGAGCAGGGGCAGGGCTCAGGCAGGTGAACGTCCAGCCTGACATCTTGCTCACACACCTCTGGCCCCTCCATCCTCCCTCCTCACCATCTTCCCATACTTGTTCCACCCTGATCCTTCCCTTTCTGTGTCTGTGGTCCTTCCCCATAACATCCCATAGTAAGTTTTGTGCAGTCCCCCAAACCCCCTCAAATATCCCTTAATATTCATGCTACCCAGGTTTCCTCCTCCTTATCCGTTACAAAATCGAGGCTGAGCCTCTCCAAGGCTGGAGTAGTTCTTTTAATGGCCCATCAGTCAGTGCCTGACAGCCTCTGGCCTCTGTTGTTGTCTCTCTCATCACCTGCTCAT